CGGTATATTCACTTGTTTGATAGGTGTTGCTTTAGACTTGCTGTCCAACAAAATACAGTATAGTGGCTCCTTCATATAACTGGGTCACGCGTAAGCAACTGCTCCATAACAAATCTCCGAGGCATCACTGAAGAAATGTAATTCTAATTTTCGCACCATGTATGCCGATTCTGTTCTTGATTCCTCAATCGATCGTAGCATGACCTATTTGTCGTATTATATTCATCCAATTTAACTACGTGGACACGTATGGCTCATTGAGAGGCTGATCCCATCATATTTGGGATTTTTGAAAGAGTAGTTTGGCAGTAAGGCAGACTGGAGCAATTAGACCCAAAGGATCGAACAGGGACGAAAAACCAGATAGAATCCTTATCCTTGTCAAAGGATTTTCTGGTGCACCAAAGTAAAACTTAGGTATATTTCGTTCGAAATTCCATTCTACTCCTAGAGTTCAATGAGTGGCATTGTAACTCGTTGACATTTCTGTCAAAGACTCTTCCTTACATACATCAGGCAAGATGATCCTTACTTCTTCCGAGTTAGTGATCCATTTATTTAATTTAAAACCTGCTCTACATAACAAAAATCCACTTTACACAAATAACAATGTGTTTATTGATAACTAATCTAAAAGGATTATTCCTAGAGTTCTGATGAAAAGCTGTGATTAAGGTGTAAGGCATTTATTGTGGTAGAGTTTCTTTCCCTGAGCTGGATATTTTGGTTGTTGAGCTTTCGTTGCTCGTCTGAACAACATCATCAGCACATCAGATTAACACAACTTTAAACAGAACCTGAGTTTCCAAATATACTACTCATCACGATATTCAGTATATGGTATGATTGCGAAACATGGTCGTTAAGAGTAGAGGATATTCGTAGGTTACTAGTCTTCGATCATAGGTGTATCCGAAGCGTTGCTCGTGTATCCTGTCGTCAGGAAACGAGCTCTAGGTAAGGATGGCTAATCAGTAGATGAAGCATTGAAACTTCATCAGTTGAGGTGGTTGGGACATGTGTTACATATACCTAACCAACGACTGCCGCCACGAGCTGTTTTGCTGTGTAGGAGTACGTTCGAAGACTGACAAGTGGACTGAGTCAAATTGGTAGATTTAGGCTACCTGGTTGGGTTCCGCAAGACGAAAGTCACTAATGGTTAGAGACCTTGAACGACATGGTTCAGAATCGTTTGTAATGGCGCAGGTGCATCCACTCTTTGTGTTTTCTCTACTTCTAACCTTCTGAATTCCTCATAATCTTCATCTTTCTCTTTCTAAATTTATCTCACTGAATTATAATTATCGAATTATATCTTCGCTCCATAATCTTCTCCATTGCTGCTAATAATTCTACTATCGCTATCACTCTTGGATTTGAACTGACAATTACGTCTCTGTGCTGACGTGGTATGGCAACCTGAACTGATGTACTTATGTACGAAGTTCTGTGTTGTATCTGTCTGTCTGTCTCGTTGTTCAGTTGAATTTTATTGATATTTAGATCGTATTATAGATCAGTCAAAACTCAAACCGTTCTCCCTTCATGGTATAAATCATTTCTCAACTACTTTAGAATATGATAAATTCAAATTAATTAAACAATTTTATGCGAGTTTCGTTTCATTCTCAGTCTATAAAAGTCTAATGAGAGATTGTATTTATAAAAATCCGCTTGATATAAAATACAGAGCATATGCTTAAACTAATTATGATTGGTAATTAGTAATTCTCCAATATACAAATCAATCACCAGCTACTACTCTTCTCTTTTAGTTTTAAAGAAAAATTTGATTAATCAAATTCGGTTGAGCGTTTCATGATCCTATGCTTATGGGTCGATCACAATATAAGTAGTATTTGGTGAGTTGCTGATAAATTATTTACAGTAAAATGAAAAACACGGTCGATCATGATAGTTAAGCTTTAAAAATTTCTTGAAATCAATTCTACTGATATTGATTAAATTAATTTACACAATTGTGATCAAGTGAAGTAAAGTTTCAGCAATATAATCCATTTATTAATTTGTCACTCATTAATAACTAAAACTGATGTTAAAAAATCATTTCAATCTTCTTTTCAAACGATAAAAAATAGAGAGGTTGATTTTATTAAGTTTATTCGTGGGTGATGCTTTCATTTATTCATTTCATTTGAATGACAAATATGCTCGACTTCTTTTTGCATATTGTATTGTGTTACTTATTAATATTCAGTAGTTTATTTCATTTACGATAGAATTTGAGCAAGATTACAAGATTCCAGTGTTTCTTGGTTGTTTGGGTGTTCTAAACATTTAGTCGGATTCATGATGTTCAGTCCATTTATTATTATTATTATTATTATTATTATTATTGTTATTATTATGTTCTCCTAAAATTCTTTAAAATCAAGTTTTATTTCTTGTATTTTCACGGGACATTTATTTATTGATAACAATATCCATATATTTTCAATGTGCATAGTTCTTGTTTCAGTTTGTTGCATATCGTTGTTGATTTCGACTGAGCCACTGGTTATTACTTGGGTAATTATATATATATAAGGAAAGTATAGCAGAAATAAATTCTTTTTAGATTACACCTTGACGTGTTTAGGCGCCTTGAATACTTCACAAACTGTATTACTTTTGCAACCACTGGTTACATTACGGTTTCATAAATATCTCCCTGTTTCGATTCTAGTTTCTTCATTCACCTTGATCCTTGATTTAATTGCACAAAGTATTATTATTTGCTTATTTCCCAAGTTCCAAGTTTTATTTGGACCAAAAATTAATTTTGTAGCATTTCCCATTCATACAATAAAACAATTGCTTGTGTACCCATGATTCAGTTTGACCTATCATCAATGCTGTTGTGCCGTGCTAACATTGCTACTCAAGTGATTTCCTGAGTGGCCCGATTATGTATGTAAATAAGTGAGTATTTGAGTTAATCACAATCTGGGACTACCAATCATTAGTCTTATGTCCTTCCTCTTCTACTATAGCAGGTCAGTATTGGGCATTTTGTGTTTTGTCTGGTGTTGGGAACAGGTTCTTTCTTCAAATAAATTGTTTTGTGAATTCTAATACATCTAACCTTTTTAAGAACGGAATTTTTCACATGTTCTACTACTGCTATATATACTAAATTTAAACTGTTTGTAGTTCAAATCTTTTTATTTATGTTGCAGAAAATATTCAACAGCAGAAGGATGACAATAAATTTCTCGTTGCAATTCAGACTACTCAAAAGAATATATCAGTAACATAATCGGTTTAACAAAATAAACAAAAATGTTTATTTATAACCAATAAAATAAGGAGGGAAAATTGTAAAATCATCTCAATTTATGATCAGCTGCATAAAAGTTATGCGTACTCGAACTCACATTCACTGATACTTGTCGTTGGAGCATCGTCATCGTAAGTTCAATCCACTCTCTGATCATGATAATGCTAACAATCATAATTTATGGATAAAGTTGATGTAAACTATTAACAGTATACTGATGAGATAACTTTAGGTAGGAAGAATCAGTTAGTTAACTACTTGCGGACAACATCCAAGTGTATATCGATTCAAAATAGCTTACAGCATGGTATTAAAACAGAGAAAATTAACTATATCCAAAACAGAGGATGTGGTAAGCTGAGTAGAAGTAAAAAGTGAGATGGAATGTGAAAAATATCGAAGGGTTCTTGACCAGAAATTCAGAGGCCGAAAAAGGCTGATTGTAACAATACCAATATGAAAAAAATGGATAAGTTGTATCAGTTAATTTCAGTGAATAGAACATTTGTAGGTAAATATCATTGATCAGTCAATGGGTAGAGAAAAATATAATGTTTGGTGTATCAGTCGATAGGTTCGCTAAAGTTCGATTATACCGGTCAGGAAATGTAACAAACAGACACAACAACCACATACACAGAAAGAAATCTTGGTTTACTCATCATTAATTTGGCTAAGTAAGAACAATCAAATAAAGGAATGGAATCTAATAATAGTGTCGCTAACCATTTATCTGAGTAATGTATAACAGTGGAGATTTTCTGATTTTTTGCGCATTAAACTACTTAAACTGTAAACTAGTAATACAAATATATTCGTCATTTATTCTTCTTTAAATATCCCGTTCCTTACTAAATTTTTTAACTTCGAATAATACTGTTATCTTGACCTTCCTTTCTTAATATTAGATGAAGTTCCATTTTTATTTTAATGATGAGAAAACTGATAGATTTCCGCTAGATTTTATAAGTTTTCATGTTTTAAAGTAAGTCAATTTTGAAGTTATGACGAAATTTGATCAAATGATGTGACCAATATGATTTAAATTGACAGAGCTGTCAAACGTAAAGGTAGTAATCATTAGTTCAGAAGCAAATGCATAAAAAATAACTTAGGAAACAAAACTCAAAATATCTTTGTTCTATTGAAACAGTAAAGTTAATTTTGAATTTATTCTCCTGATCAACAATGTCTTTGAAAAATTTTAGATGAAAAAAATCATTGCACTATTATCTAATCAACAGATATGACTGTCTGATATAATCCAGAAGCAACAATTCTTTCACCTATCTGTTTGCTTGTCGATCTCTTAAAATATTTGTTCTCACGAGAACTTTTCTATCATGCAAACTTGTGACTTGATGAATTTCAATTTACAGTTCACTAGTAAACAATTCTAAGAATTTGAGCCATGAATATTACCTTGATTATTGAGCCATTTAATTAATACTGCCGACGTGGTAATCTCACAGATCACAGTCATCCAGTATCATTAGCTCCGAATAATTCAAATTTAAATTTAATATTACTAATAAGTAGTTTAAAATGTTAAGTAAAATTAAGCGATTTGTAACTGCGAACAATCTGTTTTTGTTCATATCTCATTTTCAAGTCAATTAGTATCAATCGATCACTAAATGATCGACATTTTTTTTATCTCATCCCAACTAATCCTATCATAACCCATTAGTCTAATTATTAACAACAAGCGATCATCATTTTATTAAAATTTCATTATTCTGATTATATGTGGTGATGATGATACTAGAAATTAAATCAATCGTAAAAATATTGTCTAACGAAAATAAAATTGGAACATTAAAACAAATTAGAATTTGGTTTGATTGTTTAAAAATAAATCAGAAATGGAAACATGATAGTTATGTGCAAATAATACAAGATAAAAATCATTTTTATATATGTATATCTGAATATATGATTAGCTCAATAATGAATTGTTTTTTTTTTGTTACGTCTGATATGAATTTTCTTATCATGTGGATATGTTGACGTGTTTATTGACGTTTAAAAAATTGCATAGTATATTTTATAAAACTGACAAAATCACATCCTTCACGATGTAAACAAGTAAAAGCTACAGTTAATGATATCATTAATGTAACAAATGTGAAAACAAACACTCCAAGCAGTTGCCATGTTATGTAATCTACTTCACCAGCATTCTTGATGTCATGTAGACTGGAAGTTGATGCAACTGAAATAATGAAAAGAAATAGGTCATTAAATGTTCAAAGATTATTTACGCATACAAAAAATTGTGTTGATTTAACTGTGAGATGAAAAAAAGAGAGGTTGTCCAACGTAGATAGTTTTATTTACATCCATATAGTAAATGTAGTTTGTAAATTATCAATCAAGTAACTTGTATTTAGTTGAGAATGGAAGTATCTCATGAATATATATACATACATAATAGGAGATGTGGGGCGCGGATAGGCAAAAAAGGCTGCATATGTACAATTGAAAAATATCTGGAACTCCAAACAAATATCAATCAACACCAAAATCAGAATTTTCAATACAAATGTAAAGCAGTTCTACTGGATGGAGCGGAAACTTGGAGAACTACAAAAGGCATCATCCATAAGATACAAGTGTTTATTAAAAGTTGTCTACGTAAAATACTTCTTATTCTTTGGCCAGACACGATCGGCAACAACCTACTGTGAGAGAGAACAAACCAGATGCCAGTGGAGGAGGAAATCAGGAAGAAGCGGTGAAAGTGGATAGGACACACATTACGAAAAGCACCGAACTGCGTCACGAGACAAGCCCTCACATGGAACCCTCAGGGCAAAAGGAAAAGAGGAAGGCCAAGGAACACAGTACTCCGAGAAATAGAGAAAGACATGAGAGGAATGAACAAAAATTGGACAGAATTGGAAAGCGAAGCCCAGGACAGAGTTGGTTTGAAAAAACTGGTGGGCGACGTAGGCTCATTTGTGGGTAACAGAAGTAAGTAAGTAAGTAAGTAAGTGATAGGAGACAGATGCAATATGTAGATGAGATAATTCACTTAGTTAACTAAACATAAATATTGAATTGATTTCCAAATCTTTTGTTATATTTCAATCAGATAAAATTGTACTTAACTGTCACAAGAATGAATGACAAACATCTATTCATACTTTATCGTACTAAACATTTTTAAATTCGATCGATAAGAATCACTGAACAAGATAACCTGGAAAAAATGTAATTATGAATCTTGTTGAGATGAAATTTTCTCTGTGTATGTATATTTTATTCAACGATAAATGAGTCGCCTTTGTTTTCAAGGATTGGAACACTCATTTTTCTTATTTGGTGAGTCACTGGTAGTCAGAAGACACCGGATAACTGTCTTGTTCTAGTTTAGGCCTTTCTATCAGTATGTGGCCACAACTCTGCAACAGGAGCTCATACCCTGAACCTTTGACCATATATGCGATTGCTCAACTTCCTAGACTACTGAGCGAGAATCCAGTGATGTTAATATCTATCTTTAATCAGTTCGAGCTATTGCTGTTACGCTCGTCACTAAGTATGCTTGAGGCTATTACGAGTTTACCTTAGTCGATAAACGCCAACGAGACAATTACCAGCCTCCAGGTTGGCTACCTTGAATCCCCAAATAGAGTAAAATGGCTTTGTAAGCGTAGAAAGTATATTCTACAAACACCCAGCAATCACAGTACAATCAAGCATACAACTCTCGTTTATTTATACATCATAGAAACGTCCTTGAGACAGTTTAGAAAATAGCACACTAAAATACACAGCAGCCAATCACAGCCATGGACTTTCCTGATGGGAATTAAAATCTCAAAGTCAACTGATCAGCCCATGCTCGCAAACGTGAAAACCAAAATAAGGCAATTAACACGCGAATTTTGGGGATCTAACATCCCCAACAATTGCAAAATAACCTTCCCCTGTCTTTGGTAGATAATTATCTCACACCTGATATGGTTGAATTCCGCTGGTCATGTCTTCTCACTCAAATTCCTGGCATGATATCTAGAGGCTAGAAACTAGTAAGAATAATAACTGAACAATCTTCATAAGCCTAGTACACTACACTTTATCATTTACTCAGATTTAAATGAAGTAAAAATCAAATTTTTGTTTGATTCACAATTATGAATAAGAATTATTAGTTTAAATATGACCAAGTACTAACATAATATCACTTTTTTTTAAGCATGAAATTAGAAATTTGTTTGTCTTCAATAATCCACTTTGTTCATTTTAATTTATTAATAATGATCGGAAATTTATTTGCATATTGTATTTTAATATATATATATATATATATATATATATATATATATATATATATATATATATATATATATATATAATATCAATTGATAACAATAACTTATGATACAATTACTTCTAATCAATTGAATCACAAACTGATTAATTTCAGCTTGTCTATTCAATAGAAAAAGTCAATCTTTCGCCCCCCCACCCACAATTTTTAGAACTATTCAATATCATAGTCTTTTCATTAATATTAATGACAAGTATTGAATAAAATTGATGAGACACTATGAAACACTATGTCACAATTTCATTGATTTGACATAATTATATATGTAGTAAATTTTTTTTTAATTAAATTACGTATTATCATACACTATAGTTGTGATTTGATATTTATGAGGTTGCTGACAACCTAAAATTAGAGTATTATTGATTGAAATGAAAAAAATAGTGTCAATAATCTATATATTGGAATAGTCTAAAACAAGTTGACTTAACATAGTGAGATAGAATGATCATATTGATAAGAGGTAACGATATTAAATGGAATTTAGAAGGAATTAGCCATAGACAAACGTCGCTCACATGATAACAGGTATTTGCGAAAATCTGTAACTATGTTGAAACTAGAAAAAAGAGATGGAATATACCGGTCTTTTTAAAACTTGGCTTCACACATTATGCAATAACTGAGAGAATTGGTTTAGAATCGAAGGAGAAAAGAAAAGAGACATTCATTAGCCAAGGTGCTATCAGTATACCAAACAAAATATGCAGTATAGCAATCAAATATGGACAGATTTCCGCCTTATGTTACCTCTAGTTGTGTTTATGAGTTTTCAGATATGTAATACATACAGAACAGAAAGGAGAGTTAGTATTTGTATCTCCGAATGTATTCCACAAAAGTTAACACTAAATGGATAAAAGGTTTCCAACATAGCAATCGGTCATCATCAACCAAACGCTGAAAATATCCGGAATTTCGAACAACTGTCAACCAAAACGAAAATCAGAATTTTAAATACAAATGTCAAGACAGTTCTACTTGTATGGAGCGGAAAATTAGAGAACTACAAAAGCCATCATCCAGAAGATACAAAGGTTTATTAACAGTTGTCTACGCAAAATACTTCGGATTCGTTGGCCAGACACCATCAGTAACAACTGACCGAGGGAGAGGACAAACCAGAATGCAGTGGAAGAGGAAATCAGGAAGAAGCCGTGGAAGTGAATAGGACACACACTACGAAAAGCACCGAACTGCGTCGCAAGACGAGCCCTCACATGAAAGCCTCAATGTTAAAGGAAAAGCGGAAGCCCAAGGAACACATTATGCCCAGAAATAGAGAAAGATATGAGAGGAATGAACAAAGGTCATCATCAACCAAACGCTGAAACATTAATTCTTCCATCTATTATCTGTTATCATTATTCTGTCTCAACATGTTAACATAATTTATTCAAGACATTGACAATAATATGAGTATGTACACTTGAATGTTCTGTTTGAATGACTTTAACAATAGTCATAGGACTGAAAGCAGTTTAAAAGAATTCATAAAATAGGTCAACGCATATTCTTTTGATAAGATAATTTTTTATCCTATTTATTTCAAAAATAATACATTGAAAATATATATATAGAGAAAAAAAACACAATCACCAACTGCATTTTATTTCATTTTCGAATGTACAACTTACTTAAACAAGACATTTGATGCGAAAAATCTTCAATTGGTTTATTTGAATGTACTAAAACCACTGAATTTTTTGTAGTTAAATTTTGAATATTATTCAATTCAGAATTTACCAATTTCTCATTATCATCAGCATCTGTAGTGATTAATTTATTAGCCAATAATAATTCTAAACGATAAGTTTCCGCTGAATCTGGTCCAGTCCAATTATTCATTTCCCTTGAAACAGATAATGAAGTGGATGGTTTAGTATGAAGATTAGTTGTATGATTATTATTGTTAGTATTAGTATTATTATTGTTATTATTACTATGATTATTATTATTATTATCAATACTACCCATATCGTTTTGATCATCATCATTATCATTATTATTTTTATCATTATTTTTTGTACTACTATTATCATTAGTAGTAGTACTGATAGTTTTTTGTCGATATTGTAATCCACATAATCCATAACATGTTATACCATCATTGGTAAATACACCAGTAGCTAATGGTGATATGATTTGTGTTGATGAATCAGATAGCATATTTTGTAATTTACTAAATGGTTGAGTTGCATAAATTTTTACAATTCTCTGATGACATGGACTGGTAGATTTTGTCGGTGAACGACTTGATCGTGATGGGCTACCTAAAGGTAAAGCAAACAAAAAAAAATATATGAAAGAATTATTTGTAAAAAAATAACACAATTCAATTTTTTTTTGAAATGAACAAGACAAATGTTTTTGAGGGAAGAAAAAACCAAACAAAATGAATTACACATTTTAATCGTTCAAAGGTAAGGCAAATAATATAAAGAAATAAGGGAGGGGAATCAATCGAATGAATGTTCACTGTGTTTGTGAATAATAATAATAATGATAGGCATTGAATGTCAGCAATTATAAAGCGATGATGAAATAAACTATGTGGGATGATTCAATAAAGGGAAAACAAAAGAGTTACTGGTGTTAACAGATAGATCTCATTTTTAATTGATCTCAACATTGATCAAAATCATTAGTGATGAATTATTTTGTTAAAAAAGTGTCGATTAGATCGTCATCAGGCTTTACTCGAATATACATGACATGTTAAACCAATCGAAGCAATTTATAAGTCGACAATCACAATGAAATGAAATAGATTACGTCAGTACGCATTATATATTGCAAAAGTACAAGTTGATAGTAGAAAGACGGATGTACTAAGAGTAGTAAGAAAATGATAAAATACGATAACTAGAGTTTTTATCAATAGTTGGAAATAGTAGGTCGAACATGCATAACACAGACGTAAAATACATTTGAAATCATGAGTCGATCAAAGTTAGACCACCATTGGAAACCTGGGAGCACTGAAAGACGGCCGTTTCGTCCTGGTATGGGACTTTTCAGCAGTGTGCATCCACGAATTCTGCACCTCGCAGGATTTGAACCCGGGACCTTCGGCCTTGCGCGCGAACTTAAAATAATCATTACAAAACATTAAACCGATTGCGTAATAAAAAGTGTGTACATAATTAGACAGGGAAGAATATAAACGGGAAGCGGCAGGAAATTACAACACAAATTATTGACTCGAATTGCGTTGATTGGTTTAACATGTCAAATATAAATATTCATGTATATTAGAGTAAAGCCCGATGACGATCTAACCGAGAACAATATTATTCACTTATATGTTTTGATCATAATCAGGATCTTTAATATTTTTAAAATATTGACATAAAATAATAGATAAGTTTTAAGATTGTAAACAGTTCTTACAGTTAATTGATGAAATAATTTAATAAAAAGTGCTTATTGTGTTGATACTTAAGATTGGTTAAGTCGTATTACAAAACAAAAATGGCTGTAATTGAACGTACTGCTATAAGGCGATCTATTCTTACATTGATTATTGAGTTGATTATCTCAAGCAAATTGAACATTGATTAATTTGTTTACAATAATAAAGTAATAATGCATATGTGATATTTCAATGAGTGACAAATCAAATTTCTCACGTTTCACAACGATTCGTATAATTCAATGAATACTAGTTGAAATAGTACAGAGGTATAGAGCATTAAATTTTGTGCAATCTAAACAGATCGATTCTAAAGAAGCTATTTGCGCTAGGCTATGTAATGTCAGAAATTCAATTTTCTATCAATGGAGATATTAAAAACATATTGATATCCCACTGTAATGTGTTGAATTGTTTCACAAAAGGATTCATACTCACAACCCGTTTTATACATTTTTCATAGGTTCTACAACATGATCTATGTGATGCCTATAAAGTATTTGACTGTAATTTTATTTATCATGGTTTCAATTATCTTTTGGCTGATATGTAAACTTCATGTTGACCAGATTTAGCTGGCACATGAGTATTCTTTGCGGATTACTCTGATACAGTCAATGTCAAGTATGTTTACATAGAACAGAGAACATGTCACTATCAATGGAATCCAAAATATATGTTTAGTCTTATTTGGAACTTGTCATTCAATGCTAACGTGTTACTCACTAAACTCTTAAGCTCTAATTTTCCCTTTTCTCTATGTAATGGGCATGAATTTTAATCTAATTTTTAAATGGTTTGAATTATTCTGTTTTTAATGTTTGATTAAGTTGTTGTTTGAAGTTGCAAGTAGAAGGAAACATCAAGATCTTTGACTTCAATGTTAAATTTAACTCCATCAATTGTGTATTTTTAAAATTTCAGACAGGCGTATTGTTTTTTGATAAAAGTAATTATAGATTAGCAAAACACCGAATGGAATAAAACATAAAAATAATGAGAAATTTACATACAGAATATGTTAAACTTTTCTTAAAGTAGATCAGATCAAATTAGAATATCACAATATTCACCAAAATTGATTGATGAAAAGTGAGTCATTTACATGAAAGTTAACTGATAAAAATTAAATTCTTAATCATTATTACGATTATTATTATTATTATTATTATTATTATTATGTAGTATGAATAATGAAATCGATCAAAAACCTATGAAGAAATTAATTTTATATTTGTTTTTTCAATTAGACTTATGCAGATTAGTGTTTTTTGCACACTAAAATCATCAATCAATCAATCATTGTTAGACCACCATTAGGAACCTGGAAGCACTGGAAGAGTTACGTTTCATTATGGTATGGGAATCATCAGCAGTGCACAGTAACTAGCGAAGACAAATGGGTGAGGTTGCGCAAAATGTGTAGACTGATCAGAGTCAGACATTAACACCGTTGGTTGGAGGCCCAGTGGTCCAGAGGTTAGGCGTTCGCACGCAATACCGAAGACCCTGGGTTCGAATCCCTTGAGGTGTAGGAGTCGTGGATGCGCACTGCTGAAGAGTGCCATACCAGAACGAAACGGCTGTGCAGTGCTTTCAGGTTTCGAATGGTGGTCTAACAATGATTGATTGATGATTTTATATATGCATTGTATAATTCTATGACGATTTCCAAATATTTTTTTGATCTACATGCATATGAAAATAAGTTTCAACGTAATATAATGTAATGTAGTGTAATGAATGGACTCAATGTTGATTAAGGAAAACAGAACATTGCGTAACACAAGTGAAAAAAACTATTAAATTTAACCAAAACAGTTATTAATCGACAAAAAAGATTATTCATTGTTGACACTCAAAATTTTCGATAAATGAATAATTTTCATTGATATAAAAATAATTATCATGGAGTCCATCGTAAATTTCAATGTGTTCAATAGCAAAACTAACATTGAATATATTTTCAATTAGAGTTATGGAGATTAGTGTTCTTACACATTTGAAATTATCAATCAATCATTGTGAGACCATAATTAGAAACCTGGAAGCACTGGACGGCCGTTTCGTCTTGGTTTATGAGTCATCAGCAGTGTGCATTTATGACTCCTACACCTCACAGGAATCGAACCCTGGACCTTCGGTCTTGCGTGCGAACACCTAACATCTGGACCACAGTGCCGGCATCCAACGATGTTGATGTCTAACTCTGATTGGTCTAGGGAGAAGACGTGACCAGTGGAGTTCAACTCTGTCGGGTGTAGGCAGCAACTACCAAAGGCAAATGGGTGAGGTCGCGCAAAATCCCCAGATCAATCAGAGTTAGACATTAACACCATTGGATTCCGACCCAGTGGTCGCATATAATACCGGAGGTCCTAGGTTCAAATCCTGCGAGGTGCAGGAGTCGTGAATGAGCACTACTGATTAGTCCCATACCAGAACGAAACGGTCATCTTTCAGTGCTTCTAGGTTTCTAATTGTGGTCTAACAATGATTGATTGAGGATTTCAAATCGAATACATACTTATTACAAATGTGGATGACAAATTTTAAATTGATGATAGAAATCAGTGTAGATATTCATTTCTGTTTGTTATTTACATATATAAGTTATTTGTAGCATTTAAATCTTATGACCTGTGTAAATTATATTCACGCAGGGCAAGTTATGCATGAATCATCAGTAAAGTATGCTATTCAGAATAACTCATTGATATAAAAATAGGTTTATTGGCGACAATGAATATGTAGAGTCATCAGCCTCATTCGATACACACATAGTTTTTGGTAGACTAACATAGTGTATAAGCAAACAAAGGTGTCAGGTATATTATCATTTTCAATTACCAGAGATTTAAGCTTTGTATATCATCAATTTCATGATTAATCAAAATGCCAAATGTTGAATATAAAAAAAACACCTGTCTGTATGATAATCAACTTATTCTTAAATCATTTGCATTCTTGTCGTCAATTTTGCTTTATCAATGACATTTCTCTAAAAATGCATCTATTCACATGATTTGTATGCATAAAAGAATATTCCAAAAGAAAAGAAAAAGAAAAATCAAATGTTATGCCTTTTTGTTGAATAATGAGTTATGCATAAATATGACAGGGGATTTAAGGAAAAATCATCTCAAATCACCACAATACGACACAATCATTACAAACAAACAAAGAAAAAAAAAAGGGAACAAAAGATGGGAAATATTTCTCCAAAACAAAAAAAAAACAACAACAGTAAAACAATGCCATTATTTATGAATACACCATGGATTGATGTTTTCATGATACAGTTAATTGATATGAATGAAGTACGCTTGATTACAATTGTCTTTCATTTTTCTGGTTTTTATTTTTTATTTTTTTTAAAAAAAAACGAATTAATTTTGCTTTGCTTTGATTGTTATGTTCTTTGGGATGTCACCTTGTCAGTACACTAATAATACTACTAATAATCATACTAATAACTTACCAACACCACTTCGTAAACATTTTCTTACCATATAACGAGAGGCTATAAATAAATTTATTAAATATAAATATTAAATATATTTTTTTAAAAGTCATTTATAATGAAGAGAAAGTTTTGATTGATAAAAGCGTGTTAAATTGATTCAACTTGTTCATTGTACCACACTAGTTTACATGTTAAGATGTAGTGAATTGTTGTTGGGACAGCTTACAGAAAGTAAGATGACGTTTTGAGAGGTTTGTAAGAAGACGAAGAGTTTTCACTCAATCACGGCTTCATAGAATCTCTAGAATGTCGATGTGACATGAGCTCACTGGATCATTGTGTGACATAGATATTTTCGGGTTGGATGATTTTAGTGATGTTTAAAATTTATACGTGAAACTATCAGTACACATGGCTTTTCTGTATATTTTAACATTTAATGGAGTAAAGGTTTCTTCGGTTTCTCCCAGTTTTCGCTTTGTAACGAATGTTGACGACAAATATTGTTACAAACAGATATCGATTGAAAAGCTATTAAAAAGCAGTAATTACTACGCTGATGTTTCCCCCCCGACATGATTGAATAAACTCAGACACCAAGAACAGATAAAATAGTAATATATTTAGAGAAGATAAAGTTTGCTAACAAAATATGTACACCTAATAATCAAAGTCCCATTTACAAAACAAGCAGTTTGTTGACTGTCTTCTTTAACATGTTTTCTGGTATTGAAAATACTTTATTCGCACCGTACATTCCGCTCCGACACTTATCTTTCCGGTAGTAACTTTTAGGCAACATTTCTCTGCATACTAGTTAACATTCACGTTGCGACTAGGATCCGCCACGTTAGGACCGCGTAGGGCATCAAAAGTCCAACATATAATTGATCCTATAACATTTGAGTGTCAAGCAAAACGTTCTAGCATCAAACCACTAGACTGACATTCAACCCTTTAAACATTTTCTAAATTCAGTTAATTCTCAACATCTCATGAACCTTATCCTAAGTTATCAAAAGGTAACTATAGCAGCATTAAAGCTTACAAAGTTTTACTAATATTTGAAATCCAGTCAACATTAAGAACAAGACTGCCTTCCCACCGAAATGAATAATCGTTGTAATTTCCTTATTGAGTGGATGACGGACTTTTTCTTAAAGTTTTAATAGAAAGCTCAAACTCATACCATAAAAAAATGTCACAAGTGAGATAATTATTACTTACAATCAAAAGATATGTTAAAAAAAAATATTGACAGTTGAACAATGTTGCAAAATATGGACCATTGTAAACTGACCCAAAGATCTATACATTGTAGTGTGTGTATGATATTTTAATAAAATTTTCTCATCTTGTATTAAAAAAAACACAACAATGTTTAATTATTGACAACTTTCAATAGTTTTTTTTTAAACACATCAATCAGAACTGTGAAGAAAAACATTCAAACCATTTGAAATAAAAATATTTTTGGTTTTTGAAAATAATAGTAATAGTAGAAATAGTCAATTGATTACAGAAATTCAATGATCAAATAGGTGACTTTTAAATAAAAACACTAAAGAGGAAACTTTGAATCATTGACTAACAATACAATACCCAGTGTTTAAACAATATTCCACCATTTAAAATTATTGCTAAAAAACGGATGACTGTTATATGTGAATTTAAAATGTTACCATTTAACATAATATTATTGTGTAGTTTGTTCAATTCTTATATGAAAACAGTAATTATAACATTCTCAACTAGTAAAGAATGGTTGGTGAAAACTGTTAAAACTCAATCTTTTAATTATTACAGTTAAAATGCATATTGAATGCTTTCAATTAGAGTTATAGAGATTAGTGTTTTGACGCGTTTGAAATCATCAATCAATCAATCATTGATAGACCACAATTAGAAACCTGGAAGCACTGGATGGCCGTTTCGTTCTGATATGGGACTCATCAGCAGCGCGCATCCACGATGCCTGCACCTCATAGGATCTGAACCCGGGACCTTTAGTATTGGGCGCGAACGCCTAACCTCTGGACCACTGAGCAGGCATCCAACGGTGTTAATGTCTAACTCTGATCGATCGAGGGATTTTGAGCGACCTCACCCATTTGTCTTTGGTAGTTACTGCCTACACCCTACAGGGTCGAACTCAACTGGTCATGTCTTCTCACTAGAACTCTGAGAATTTCCTGACGAAGCTAGTCACTAGTGAGCACATTTTACGATATTCAACTAGAGTTATGGAGATTATTGTGTTTTTACACATATGAAATCAATCAATCAATCACTGCTAGAGATTTATTGTCATAATACACACAAAGAATTCTAAAAATATTGGTTGTGTAAAACATGAAACTTTTATTATTATTATGAATTTTAACATTAACGATACAGCAAAATATTATTGATCAATTATTCAATCTTAATGCGCTGCGCTACACAGCGGACATTTACGGATAATTTTTAATTTTTAAAATGAGATTATTGATGATAAAGTATGCTACTGTGTACAATGCATTACTCACTAAAAAAGGAACGTAAAAGTGACAAACTTATCAGGCTTAGATATGATTATTGAACATTGACACAGTTGGAAATAACTAACACCCTTCGGCCATTATTTACAGAGAATATTTTAAAATTAGTATAAAACAAAATAAAGAAAACACAAACTTACTTGAACTTGATCTAGATTTAGTATTATTTTGATTGATTATTTTTGGTTCAGTGGAAATAGTGATTGTTTTAATGCATCCACCATTGTTAGGCTTATTAATGATATCAGTTGTTTCTTGACTTTTTGTTTCAACAAATTTTTTACGATTTACCGGTATAATACGTATTGGTTTTTTAGTTGGTGAAAATGAACTAGAACGAGTTTTTTGTTTATCATTCTCATCAGATTGTACTGGAATTGTATGTGATTTTGATGATAGATTAGAATTTTTAGTTTGTTTTGGTTGTGTCAAATGATCATGATCATCATCATCATCAACATTATTATTATCATTATTATGATTATTTGTATGTGAACGTTTAAACTTATTGTCAACAATAACTGTAGAATTACTACTACTACTACTACTACAAATAATTCGATTAATACTATTTGTTGTAGTTGTCATTGTTTCTGATTGTGATGTAATTGTTTCTTCACGAGTTATTTTATGCATTTTTGTACGAATTGCATTATTCGACTTACCACAGGTTGATGATGTTATCACTAATGGTGTAGTTGAAATGGTTATTTTCGGTGTATTCATTGGTACAGTCGATACAGCTGCAGGTTCTGGTACAGTTGTTATTGGATTTACTTCATATGCTGCTTCTTCATCAATCATAGGTATATTTTTATAATTTAAATTTTGTTTTAATTTATCATCGATTGTTTGAACAATTGAAATTGTAGCTGTTTTTAAATCTGGTGCTACATTTATAGGATTTGGTGAAATATTGGAAATTGTAGAAGAAATTAACGATGTTGCATTTGGTAATGTTGAAAAATTATCAGACAGATTAGTATTGGTTGTTATTATAGAGTTTTCATTTGTTTTCAATGTGGTAATTGAAGTGTTATTTATATCTAATGGTGAATTGATTTCGTTGACATTTAGTTCAAGTGTTGATGTAGAAGTTTTTGTTTTAATATCAATTTTATCATGTTCATTTGTTTCAGTAGATAAATCGGCGGTATTTAGTGAATCTTTTTTAATATTGACTGGTATGACTTGACCAATAGTTCCAATTAAACGTGCTTCTAAAATATTCTCTTGTAATTGTTCAGCTTCAAATTCTGGTTTAATATGACGACGAATTGATTGTAAACGATTGTCTTCATCTAATTTTGATGAATGATTATGATTCACGGAATCATTTTTTGTATTGTTATCATTTGAAATATCATCATGAATTGATTTTTTAACTAAAGGAGATTTCAATTGTGAATGTGAATTTTTATGAATTTCATTGAAATTCATTTTACCAACAACATGTGTAGTTATGTCAACAAATGATGTGGTTTCAATGATTTCATTTAAACTATATTTAATAGATAATAGATTAGATTGTTTTAAATCTGATTGTTGTGATGTGAATTCTTTCATTTCAGATGGAATCCAAAAATCTAATAAAAAAATGTTTAATAAGCCAGTTAGTTAGTGCAATTTTGAAGGAAAAAACACAATCCATCAACTTATATATATATATATATATATATATATATATATATATATATATATGAAGGAATTTCGCTTACACATTCAAGGCAAAATACTAATAGATATTTAGGAAAGACACTGATCAAGATCATATTACCACCAGTCACTAAAGTTGGTTCTCATAGTTAAACTTTACTAGAATATTTTTAAACTTTATAAATTGTTCTATATTATATAAGATATCAGTAACGTCATCATCTAATTTAAAGTAAAAGATGTGTATTTCGTTGTTAATAGTCTATTCAATGATTACAAGTTCCATTAACGTCTTCGTGATACACTCCTGTGACTGACTAGTTTTTCGTTTCTGAGAATAAACTAATTTTTTATGCAAAAAGCAATGATGATCACCGAAGATATTGGAAGCTTTTCGTGTAATATCGCAATAACTGATTGGTTAGGTACACTGGTGGATTCCAGCTTAGCGGTCTAAAGAATAAACATACGTGCATGAAACTAGAGGTTCTGTGTTCAATATCCTGTAAAACGTCTACAAATGTCTTTTCAAAGATCTCCATAACAGGCATACTCTATGATTTACGCGTCTATGATACAAGTGTTTAGAAATAGTTCTCGCAATAAACTGTTCATTACTTGATAGATAAATGTGTTTCATGGCTGTCAATGCTGATTGAAATCAATTGCGTTGTAGAATGATGTCTGTTAGGAAAGCAATGACAGTTAGCACATACTGTGTAATTGTTTTGTATCAGTGATAAGGCGACAGACTGACATGAATAAGACTCATAGCATCAAAGTGAACTGAAATCAGGTGTATTTGTAATACACACTAGTTGCTTCGTGATATTATCGACTATTTAGTGTCTGACTGGTAAATAAGCGAAATGCATAGGCCATTTCTCAACAGAATTTTGCAAACCCCATTTAACAGCTGGTGCGCTAGCAAGAAAATACTTAATATCTAATGAGATTGTTTGGTATTTTGACAAACAACATTGATTCATACCTAAAACTGCGGCCCTGAGACACTCTGGGGCTACTGCCAGTCCCAAGCTCAGATAAGGCAGGAAGGTTGGGCATAGGGAAAGCAACCTCATTCCGTAGGAAACTAACTCCCTTAAAAAAACTCTAAAACGCCATAAACCAATCACATAAACGAACAAATTCGATCGATAGTTTTACAGTTCAGAATATAAATTGTGAAAAGTTCAATCTCAATATCGGATTATGAATTCCATGACAGATGATATCAATATAAGTAAATGTGAGTTGAATTATTCACTCAATTTACTTGACAGTTTTAGAAGAAAGATTGATGTTCAGATTAACCGATATACATATATATGTCGTTAATTCTATTTTGCCAAGAAATTTCACTTAATTTTATGCTTGAAATAGTGCTTTTTATGCACAGATTTTATCATCTCACCTGACAACTTTGGTTGTGTATTTGAATAAATCTTAACAAATTTCAGCCTAATAAACACAACAGTTTAGATAATAAGATATGAATAAAGATGATGAGGCAAGTGCCTCGTTATCTAATTCTATTTTCTTTGTAAAAAGAATCTATATGTTGTTTAAACTAATTTAGATATTCAGTTAAAGCTTCAACCATACATGCGAATGATTATTGAATTTTGAACGATGAAGTTTATGTACAATCGTAATCGCAAAATCAACACAAACACAACAATATTAACATTTGTTGTTGTTGTTGTTGTGTCGATTCGTTTGACTTCACAAGTGTCTATACACAGAAGTATAGAAAAAAATAAGCACACAAAGTTTATCTAACAAGTATCTTATGTGAAATGGAATTGTATATTTATATATTTATTTCATTTATAATTCACATGAACTGTATAATTTATGCATTAATAGAACAAAACCAAAAGAATTAGAACAAAGAAAGAAAACAACAATTTATATGAATAAATAAAATATATGTAACATTTGATGTTGCATAATAAACCAATACAATTCAGGATAAAATGACCACAATAAATATGTTAATGATTGTTTGGCAAGATTTAATTTCTGGAAACTATTTTTTTTGTTTGATAACGTTTAATTCCTCTAAGAAGTCAAGTTTAAAGGAATGAGTCAAATGGTAAAGCTACTAAAACGATTCAACTAAAACTATTTAATCGACATTAGTGAGAGGTTTTATGTACTTAGGGTAGGAATGTTATCAGTGCAAGCTGATGACTTACAGTTACCAGAAGTTTCTTATTCATAAGGAATAATTCAAAGTTCATGTATGATTAGCATCCACCACGTGGATACTAGTTAAAACGATGATAAAATAATTTGACCAACCATTTTGGGTTAGATTTCTAGATTCGCTAGGATCATCACTGTAGCGTACATATTACCTGAGCATATCACATAGTAGAAAGGAGAATTCTAATCTTTTTAATCTTCCATAAATGATACAAAAGGATTTCGTTTGTTAAGTAGCGAATATTGCTTTGACGTTTAAAATTAAATGAATATATGCAGTTGATATCGATTACTGTTTGATAAAAGGTAAACTTTTTTGGTCATTTTTAAATGAATGATCTATTTAGCATATAAAATTATGATGATTAGTATAAAACATGATAAAATTGTTTTGATTAGAATGGGTTGCATAAAAGTTGAAACTAAAGAAAGAACAGATCTTATTTACATCAGCTTATCCTTTTTTGATAAACTTTAATGCAACAATGAAACTATAGAATCGATCTAAACAATTTGATGTATTTGCACTACACATTCTGAACATACATGTCACACTCTTTAAGGTATTTTATATGAAAATTAATAAAGGTTAATTAAGTAGAGGTTCAAATAAACATAAGTAGACAATTAACATAGCTACATATTTGGAATCATGAATCGACCAATATTAGACCACCATTAGGAACCTAGAAGCACTGGACGACCTTTCGTCCCGTTATGGGACTCATCAGCAGTGAGCATCCATGAGGTTGCACAACTCCGTGAATTGATCGAATTGAGACATTTACACCGTTAGATACCGGCTCAGTGGTCCAGAGGTTAGGCGTTCGCGCTCAAGACCGAAGGTCCTGATTTCAAATCCTGTGAGGTGCAGGTGTCGTGGATGCGCACTGCTGGTGAGTCTCATACCAGGGCGAAGAGGCCATTCACTGCTTTCAGGTTTCTAATGGTGGTCTACCATTGATCGATTCATGATTTCAAATGTGTAATTAACATAGTATGGAAGGAATGGGGAATTACTGTACTACCCTAGTCTATAAAATGGCTTAAGGATTACCACGGTAAATTCAAGGTTACGACTAATGGTTTCTGTATACAAGAAAGGTTCGAATATGAGGACGGTCGAGGATTTCATATTTCTAAGAATTAACTCTTCAAAATTTCTGTACATTGTTTTAAGAGCTTTATTAATATTGATTCTATGCTACATTTCAATTGTGTTTTGCTGTCGATGGACATGGTTTTCTACTTCCCACGTTGATCGAACCAACTGACGGTCATTGGTTTTGAAGCGATCTAAGCACATGTTCCATAATCCTCAATTGCATTTCATTGAATAAAATGAATCGGGCAGATTTAAACTTACTCCCTTAGTAGACTGAACCACCAATGGTGTACCTAAATACGTAGAAATGAAAGCCATTTTTTAATTAATCAAATCTACTTATCATTTGGCCAATCTCTGACTGGTCCAGTTCATCATTGTATGAATTGTAATTTAGTTTGTTGTGATCAAAATGCAAATTAATATTCGGAAAAAGTTTCAGCTAGCTCGTGTTATAGATAAACAAATAATATTTGATCAATTATTAAATGTTTGAGCGTGATGAAAAATCAATTTTATTTCATATAATTTTATTGTGAGCAGATAGCAATAAACTCGTAGACTATGTATAAGTTTATAAAATTTCAAGTTACTCACTAAACAGAATTTATCTGAATCGATTAATTGTAAAAATGTCAACATCTAGGGGGAAGCACGGGGTTCAGTGGACATCCAGGGTGCAGCTGGACCATCTAGACTTCGCAGATGATCTGGCTCTTCTATCGCACACGCAGCAACAAATGCAAGAGAAGACGACCGATGTAGCATCAACTTCTTCAGCAGTAGGTCTCAACACACACAGAGGGATAAGCAAGATTCTCCGATAAAACACAACATGCGCCGACCAAATCACTCTTGATATATATTCCTTGGAGGATGTGAAAACCTTTACATACCTGAGCAGCATCATTAACGAGCAAGGTGGATCCAATGCACATATGAAGGCGCAAATCGATAAAGCGAAGGCTGCATTTCTACAACTGAACAACATTTGGAACTCCAAACAACTATCAACAGTGGCCAAAGTAAGAATTTTCAATAAAAATGTCAAGACAGTTCTACTGTATGGAGCCGAAACTTGGAGAACTACGAAAGCCATCATCCACAAGATACAAGTGTTTATTAACAGTTTTCTACGCAAAATACTTCGGATCCGTTGCCCAGATACCATCAGCAACAACTTACTGTGAGAAAGAACAAACCAGATTCCAGTGGAGGAGGAAATCAGGAAGAAGCTCTGAAAGTGGATGGGATTCACATTGAGAAAAGCACTCAACTGCGTTTCAAGGTAAGCCCTCAGTTGGAATCCTCAAGGCCAAGGAACACATTACGCCGGGAAATGGAGACAGACATAAGAAGAATGAACACTAATTGGACAGAACTAGAAAAGAAGGTCCAAGACAGATTAGGCTTGAGAATACTGGTCGGCAGCACATGTTTCATTTGGGGGTAACAGACTTAACTAAGTAATTATATAAGTAAAATGGTTCAGTGTTTAATTTGGAACAATTCGCATCTTTAAATATAACTTTTCTGAATTTCAACTGCCTGCATCATATAAACGGTATATAACTCCAGAGAAAAAGCCGATAAAATATAGATACTTACTAACTT